TTTAATTAATCATTCTAATAACTCTTATTGATATAGAACATCTATTGAGATTTGAAAAATTCGATGACATACCAGAGAAAAATTGTAATATACGGATAAAAATTACGCTTCAATTGCTAATATAAACTTGCGTACTGAATGGTTCAGTGAGTATAGGTTGTGATATTGCATTTTACTTTCGTTGTTAGACATATATGACTAACGTTGAATGAAAACGAAAAAAAGAAAAAAAGCACGACAAATAATTTTATCGTCATTTTTTTTTGCGTTCTTTAACATTCGTTTACATAGAGTCAGGCAATGTAAACATAAAATGCAAATTCAGTTTTCTCTTGTAGAGTAGCTATAACTTTTTTTTTCAGTTAAAAAATTTTTTTTTAAAACTAACAAGATTAATTCAACTTTAATCGATCTTTGTAATTCACTATCAAAATCTGATTGTCAGTGATAGATCGACTAGTACAAAGATGGTCACTTATTCACGAATAAAAGTAATAAACAGGCCTTTTATTTAGTCTTTTTAATAAACATTTGCAGCAAAAATATTAAAACTTTCAAAGCGAGAAACTTGCCCAGAGATATCAACCACGTTTTGTTAAACCACGATTTCAATGCTTAATAAATAACAACTACTCATTCAAAAAGAGTATTAATTATTAATTCCATTAAATTATAATTATTTCAAAAAAAAAGATTTTGAACATTTTCTGAGAATGATCTGATCTATTCAATAAGTATTGTACAAAAAAATTCTAAACATATAGTGATGAAATATGAATTTTTTTCAATTTCTTCGATTGCTTTGTTCAATGTCGATTTAGCTGTCCTTTTAGACTAATATGTGTCCTTGGATAATCAAATATTTCAAAAAGCAAGCAAGTTTGAAGGGCAACAACAACAGAAAAAGCATTAATAAATAAGTTATGATGTATATTTATCAAGATTTTGATATAGAGTTGATTCTGTTATTGATGATTTCTTAAAAACAAATTGTCATTTGGATCTTTGAATTTTATTGCTCATTGTTTTTTTTCAATAGAAGTTGTTTGTTCATGAATTTGTAAATTGTTTTTTATAAGAAATAATACGAAGAGCGGTATGTGCACGAGTCTGCTACCTGTCTGACTTCAAAAAAAGAAAGATCCACACTACCTCAGAACCTATCGTTTGGAAAACTTCACCTCCTCACTAGAATCTTGAATTCGCTATTATTAATTGTCATACCTATTTATAAAGCGGTCATTGAGAGCTACTCTCGATTTATACATTTACCTAGTTTCGGTTGAAAGTATAATCTCAGTTTGTTTTTCAGTGATTAGAGTATTATTTTTCAAAACCTTTTTCACTAGTAGATACCCTAAAATCGTCTCTATTACTCTTAACTGATCTAGAGATTATTGCTTAAAGCTTTTTTTTTATAGAACCTGTAAACTGAACTACCAAAAGTATTTTGTATAAGTTCATCGCCTTAGACTAATTATATAATTGTCATAATGAGTTGGAGATGAATAAATGATGTTAATCGATTTCGTTGAATATAGCAGAATAAAAGGTCTACAAGATATTGAAAGAATTTTATTGTGTTCCACAAAGCAAAATTGTTCGTAGTTACAAGATAAATAATTCTAGGGGTGTCGCATTAGCATTAACAATTAATACTGATGCTTTAGCATTAATGGCATTAGGATTAATTAATGCTTAGGTGTTAGTATTAATTTAGCATTATTTTTAATGCTAATACATATACGTAGTGTCAATTTTAGACTGTTACCTTTCATACTACCTTTAACTTTTTAAAGGTTACCTGGGGGTAGCCTTTGTAACTTTTTGAGGGCTACCAGAGGTACTCTTTGTAACTTTTCAAGGGCTACCTAGGGTACTTTTGGTAACTACTTTAGAGTTCCCTAGGAGTACACTCTAAAAAAAGTTCGTTTTCTCGAAAACTCGAACCCCTTTGGAAACTGTTTCGAAAACCTATGAGCGCATTCGAAAAGGTTTCTGGACTGATATCAAATTTCTGAAAATATCATCTAGGTTTCTGGTCTTCCGAAAACCAATGGGTTTTCAGGAGATCAGATTCTGAAGCCCTCAATTGTATTCTCAGAATCTTGGTTTAGTCCTGAGATTCGACAAGTTTTCTCAGAAACTGTTTCTGGGTTGAAAATCTTTACAGACACTATATGGATATTCTCGAATTCCTTTGGATTCACGGTTTTTTTTATCCGGAACCTTTCCAGGTTTCCCAGTATCGAAAACTGTCGAACCATTTCTCAGAAATCGGGTATGGTTTCTGAAAATTGCTCAGAAGTTTCGAAGAGTTTTTGAATATTCAGAAAAACTTTGAGTTTTCGAAAAGAAGTCTCGAAACCCTGCTAATTGTCATGAAAAACTCAAATAGTATTTGAATGTACTATTTTTTTTCTCACATTTCTATCGTATAATTTTCAAGTTTAGGTGTTGCTCTTCAGAAGGATATAAACCTTACTTCATCTATTGAAATCGTTTTGTAAAAACATCAGCACGCTGAGAACTAAACAAAGTGTTTGGTCAGCAGAGAATCTTGGCTCGTTATTCAATCTCTCATCACCTATAAATTTTAATGAATTCGGAAACAATTTAGTGTAAAGATCGAAGAGCTGTGCTAAATCGGCTGACTACTCAAAGATGTTGTGTTTCTACTTCTTCATTTATTCGTTCTTCAGTCAATGTCCAAACATTATTAAAGTGTCAGAAATTGAAAATTTAAGGAGAAAATTTTTTTTGTTTTGGACGAATAAAGTCTGTCAAGTTACATAGGAAAACTGCAATCTTAAAGATTTAAGAATTGGTTTTCGTCGAAAAAGATTGAAAAGAATAAGTTCTTCGAAAACATACAAAAATGAATGAAGATTTGAATATTATGCAAAATATTCACATTTATTGTCATTTTAAAATTTTAAAACTAGATTTTTGTAGTTCTTCATGTAAAAGTGTGAAAAATAACCCAACTAGCTGTTTTTGTGGTGTAAAATGAGCCGTGTCCTCTCAAAATACTAGTAGAATTATGAAGAAGCTTTCTGAGCACTTGCAAACCTCCGAAATGCTATTGGATGAGTGATGAAAGAGTAATCTTCAGTGGATTCTACTCAACATACCAACGGGAAAAAGAAGTGTATCCGATTAAAAAAAATTAGAATTTGTTACTTGGAAAATCAACTTTTTCGATATTAGGAGTACGATAATAAAAACTGAGCACGTGCTTAGAAATTCTGACTATCAAGATTTCGTTTTCAAATAAAAAAACATATGATATTCGAAATCAGCATAACAAATAGGATCGTATGACATATATATCAGCAAAAAGTAATTGTCATCGAAATTCGATCCCTGTTTTCCCTGTAGTTTAGTGAAGATGAATTCGTCTTAGTGCCCTCTCGGATCAAATTTCGATGACAAATATTTTTTAATGAAGTCTATGTCATTCGATCCTATTTGTTATGTTGGTTTCGAGTATCACATACTTTTTATTTGAAAACGAAATCTTGATAGTAAAAATCTCCACATAATCAAAATCATTATCAGCACAAGAAAAAATATCTTCCAAATATTTTTCATAGATATTAACACAAAAATCAACAATTGTTTTATCATATTTTGCACCACAGCCAGATCATTATTTACAACATAGTGCTTTCTATAACATTTTTTTGCTGCTATCTATATTTGCAATAGATGATTCAAATATAAAGAAAAAAGTTATCAACTAACGAAGTATTTGTATCGATAAGCCGTATGAAGTTCTATTATAGTAATGTAAACATCATGCAATTGATATTGTTAATCATTGTCTGAAAGTAGGAAAATTTTGAGTTTGTGGTTCAACCATCATACTCATCTTGCGATGATCTTTCATACTTTTGCTTATTCAGTTATGTTCAAGATTGACAAGGCATATATTCATATGACAACAGTTTAACAAATGTAATAATCAAGGATGTTTATTCTATACCTCTTATTATACATGAAAGGATATGCCGAGAATTGATTAAAGAGATGACACTTTGCATCGAACATTTGTTTTTTTAAAGATCAACAGCATATCTTTTTCATTAGTAGCTTTTTCAAAGATTAAGAACTCTTTGATTTTTTTAAAATAAAACTTGATAAAGAAAATGTATGATTTCCAGGAGTCTCCATCAATTATTCAGTATAAAATCTTCTCTATACGCATATTTATATAAGAAAATTTTAGCATGAAGAAACTTCAGAAATTTACTTTAACTTGGACTCGACTAGCCTAGGAAAAGATAGTCCCCGATTCAAAATTCCGCTTCGTTTCGGCCTCTCTTTACAACTTATTTGCTGCTCACGTTGAATATATCATAAGACGAAGATGGTGCACACTTTTTTTGCTATATATAAAATCTTACTAAATACAGGAAGTACATCAATACGAATAAAAGTAAACAAAAATAATTATGTATGTGCTTCAATGGTACAAATTATCCAAAACAATGGCGCTTAGCTCATGCGTCACATATAACTCTGCATCATATATTTGGCGTGAAAACATCAGTTCTGTTGAGAGATTAGTGACGCTCACATCACATTAATTGTAATAAAATTTCATGAGCCAGCACTAAATCGGACAATGTATTTAGTCTACTTGCACATTGTCTCCAATGATTTACTGAAATACTTATTATCTTACTAAAAGCAAAAATTAATAATATTATATCACTTTCTTTATCTTCTCTCTCTTTCACGCTCTTTTATTTCTTCTATTTGTCTTCCGTCGCTCTTAATCTATGTATATCTTCTAATCAGGGGCGGATCCAAGATTTTAGAGAGGGGGTGGCGGTTTCTAAATTATATCACCCAATGTAGTATGAATTTTTATCGAAATAGATAAAGTAGTGTTCTCATTTTCTTACAATTCTTTATTTCCGTTTTATATAGTAAATCTATCAATTCATGAGAAAAAAACAACCTTTTTTTGAGACAAATTTTAGCAGTAAAATCTAAAAAACCAATCGACGATTAGATTTTCCAAATTCATCAATTCCAGCATCAATATTTGCATCTAAATCTCGATAAATATGCATCATAGCTAATCCATTAAGTCTTATTTCCGACACGGTTGAACGTAAATAAGTCTTCAATAATTTGAGGACAGAGAATGTTTGTTCTATAGTTACTTTTGTCATTGGTAGAGTTGTATAGATTTTCAATAAAACTTTCATGTTTGGGTAAAATACTTCAGGACAAGCAGCATAGGTATCAGTTATTGTATCTGACAAAAATAGTTGTTCTTTACGTTTCATTTTGATTGTAGTTATATTGCTAGTTGAAGAAGATTATTAAGTAGTGGAACTACTTTCTGTAACAATTTCTGCCGATCTTTTTTTCCATAACGTAAATTTAGATTTGATTTGAAGATCTGAATCATATAGAAATTTTTGATAAATTTCAATTTCTGGAGCTAAATCATCATAATTTTTATCAGCAATATATTGTGGAAACTATTATATATTTTTGTCATATTGTAATTGTATTATTCTTCTATCGTTTCTCTTTTCTCTTTAATAGCAAATTTGTGCATACGTAGTTTATTGTGCTTTCTTATAGTCATTTCCTAATGATGACAATTGATAATTGTCGAGAGTTCGACATAAAAATAATAAATTTCGTTGAAAATTTACAATACTTTTTTCTTGCAATACTTTACTCAATAATAAATCATATTTTTTCAAAGACACCCAAATTTTACATTAAAGAAGACAGTTCTAAAAATTTTATTTCTGTGGCATATACTTTACGTATTTCGATCAACATGTATGAGAGAGATTAGATCTTTCTAAGAAAGTATTCAAAATTACAGGTCAAACAACTAGACAATTCTTTTTTAATTGGGATTTTATCTTGATTTTATTTTGACCATTGTAAATTTTTGTTTGTTATGGCTTAATCTTAAAGTATCTTTGAATAAAGCGTCGACGAATGGTAGTTATAACTAATCCTGTTTTTGTACATGTCGCTATTACTCACTCGAGAACTTTAGTAAACATATCAAATCGTATTTTAACGATCAAAGCTGACATTTAGTTAATTATTCTATTGCAAGATATTATTTCTTGAGTTTAAACATTAGAGAAAAATTTAAAAAATTTTTGCCATCACTTCTATTCTCAAGGGATGGTGGTCGTCGGATCTACCACTGCTTCTAATTATATATTTTTTTCTTTAATATATCTTTCATAAACTCTCTTATAAATGTTTGAATAATTATCATAGTAATAGTACATTTTATTTTAATCTTTTTATCGTGTTTTATTTGTACAGAACCTTTGAAAATGGCAATTTAATTGCTGACAATCTTAATAAAAAATATATTCCAATAGTCTTATTTTTTTTAAATATTTTTAGTTCTTAGTTATGCCATAAAAAGTTGCTATTGTTTTTGCAGCTATATACTTAAATTATTGTCTTTTACAACTTTTAATAAAGAAAAGAAGTTATTGCCATTTGATCATTTGCTTCATGTTACGTCTGGAGTCCTTTTAAAAGAGCTGACTAAATGAAAAAAAGTCATTCTCTCGTATCTAGCAAATCATCCATATCTCTTCAAGGCTAACAATGTACTTGATAACTAAAATTACTGTATATTATTATGCATTATAATGCTTAATAATGAATGTAATTATATCATAATGCAACCTATTACATCAATTTTCATGCATTATGAGTCATTGAACAATTATTTGATAACAATCAATTTTGATGCATTATTTTCTTTAGAAAATAAATGAAGTAAAATGCATAAAAACTCTGTGCCTTGGTCGTCATGGAATTTAATGCATTTATTTTATAAAAAAGTCATGCATTAAAAAACTGATGGATTATAGCATGTTAGAAACCTATTTGACACATATTGCATAAAATTCATGAAATAGGTTGCATTATGATGTGATTACATTCGTGATGTATACATTATAATGCATGATAGTGTCCTTTATTTCTAATTGCTTTTAAAAAATCGGATATATAGGTGTCACAAAGGGAATGAAACCAAGCGTTGGTAACCTATAATCATCTTATATCCGTTATCTCTCAGGACTGTACCAATAGAGAAATGTTGAAACGATAATGAGAAAGAAAAGAAGTTTCAAGAATTTTAATAACATAGGTACCCCGTTAAGAGAAAAAAAAACTATTTACTTGTTCACTAGATAAAAGGAGGGTTAAAAAGGCATATTCTGCATAGAGATGTCTGGAGCAGCAACATTCAATCTACTAACTCGTCTTCTTAATTATGTCTTTGCTATACCCTTTCTGATCCTAGGTATAATCGGAGCAGTTTTAACTGTTATAGTCTTTACTCGAAAACGTGCATTTCGACATAATACAACTATAAATTACTTATTGGCAGGTGCAATTGTAACAGGTATCCATTTACCAGCAATTTATATTCAAATGATCCTCGTTTATGGTTTCAATATCTCATTAATGAATACAAATGTTGCCGCTTGTCGTGAACACACCTATTTACGTTATGTAACAACAGTAGCTGCAATTTCGTTTCCATGTTGGGCTTCTTTCGATCAATATGCTATTACATCTCGACAAGTTGCTTTTCGAAATCGTTGGAGTTCACTGCGTATTGCTCGAATAATTATCGTCTGTAATATGATCTTTTGGATCCTCATTTATATACCGGTCTTATTTTTTACTGGAATCCGATATGGTGTCTGTGTATTCATACCTAGTCCATATACAACATTCAATACATATGTGTTCACACCGTTGGTTTATTGTATATGTCCTATTGCAGTAGTTACATATTGTACAAGAGGTACTATACAAAATCTTCGTTCGAATGTTATTCTCAATACTCATGACCGTCTTTCAAAACAAGTTCGTGCAATGCTCGTTCCTCAACTTATAATTCTTTCTATATCGGGAATACCATTTGGTTTTCAAGGTGTCTATCTTGACATCACCAGTTACATTGAAAAAGATACTTTCCGTATTGCAATAGAAAATTTTGCTGGTCAAGTCATTCTTATTTTTTATCATTTTAATTATGTATTTACATTCTATATTTATTTGTTTATGTCAAGTGAAGTGAGAAAAGTATTACAAAGAGACATTTTCAGATTTATGAGAAAAACTCGGGTCAGTCCATTTAATGTTAAAACAGACAATTCAATAAGTCTTCGACCATTGAATAACATAAACTCTTAAATAAAAACTTAGATATTTGATGTTGTTCGATTGTTCTCAGTATATAATATCATTATGCTACTGAATATTATATTCAATGTTGTCATGTAATTTTTTTGTCTTCATCTATATTGAATATATCGTATATCTAGTTGTATCCATCTTTCCTATCCTCTTTGCTAAATGATTATGATCTTTATGATGAAAAAAATAAATGTCAAAAAAAAAGTTATAAACATGTAAATACCGATTGAAAACGTTTCCAGTATTATTCAAAATACTGCGTGAAACTATTTTCAAAATTGAATCTCAACGTATCACTCGGATAGAAAAGCCGTCTAATTAATAAAGTTGAGAGAAACTTCAGAAGATATCTCTTCAAAACATCTTGATAGATATATTAGCTATTTTTCTTTCAAGTGATGAAACAATATTAATGATATGTAATTACATCATATTATTCAAATTGCTCGTACCTAATTACTATTACTAATCTATCATAAAACCGAATGATCTATACTATTTTTCCTCGTGTTGATCACTGGTATTAAAAGAAGATCTATTCATGTAGATGGACAATGGGTTACATAAGAGCAAAAGAGTATGTGCTGATATGAGGTGTACTTTTTCGGTGTTTTCTTGATTGCGACCATTTGTCCTTAATTGGAAGAAACAAAAATGTCCGCAAAATAGAATCGGAGAATGGAGAGAACAAAAGACAAAAGTGGGCGCACATTGAAAAATATCCGTAATGAAAAATGGGGGAGGTAGTGAAAGAAAAATGGCAGGAGTATGAAAACATGCGAAAATCAATATAGTAAGAGGACCGATATAGGAGCTCGATTTAAGAGTGAATATTAGGGGATAGATGTGTGGATTTTCTCTTCAACCGCACGTTGAAATTAAAAAATATTAGATACTCTTATATGCTTCATAGGTGACTTTTTTTTCACATTAAAAAATCTTGTCTCGATTCTACTATCCCACCATTTTTGTCTACTGTTCATCCACTTCCGCTGATTCTGCTTTGCAGACATTTTTCTTAATTGGTCCAAAAGTGTCCACAATCTGGATGTAATCACTTTTTTTTGTTTCTTTCATAAATGAAGAAAGAAAAATTATCGTCTTTTTGTTTGTTTTCCATGGCAAATTTTCTTTCATTATGTCAAAATAATCGATTTGATATATATATATATGTCTTTTTAGATTAAATTGAAGTCACAATAAAATCAATACCGAGAACAAAGAATACAAAATGATTGAGAACTAAGAACAATACTACATTTTATGAAGACATGTTTATTTTTCCGTTATTGTTGAAAAGTTTTTTTTTCTGATTAAGTGCAAACAGCAGACACGGTCAAAATTTCTCAAAATGATCAATATCATAATATTAAAATGAGTTATAAAAGCCAAATCATTCGAAAGATAAATTTCATATGGAATTTATCTGTTCATCAATTAAAACCCAATTAAAAAATAGATTGTTATTTTCTTATGTATTATATTTCAGATCGTTATTCTCAATTTATTTATATCAAATAATATAATTCGAGCACAGCTCTTCTATTTGTATTAAAACAAAAAAAAAAATTCTTGCTCTACTCATTCCTAGTCAACACAAACAATAGTTAACCATATTCAAGTCTTTTTTTTTTCTTTCTTCTCAAAACATGAAGCACTAAAGTTAAATTGAAAGACTGTTCTAAATTAATTTTTTTTTTTGTTTAAACTGAAGTTATCTTTGAGCCATTGTTACCAATAGAGCCTGCTGGTTTCCAAGGAGCACTTGAAACACCAACATGCATACTTGCGGAACGGAAAATATTCTAAATTAACAATAATTATTAATAAAAATACATAACTATCTTGTAATATTTTACCTGCATTTGACTGGGCATAGGCATTCGATTAATTGAATCAAAAGAATTTTTTGTATTCATATGAAACTAAAAAAGAGAATAAAAAAAAATAATGTAAATTTTATAAATATGAATCATACTCTTGGCCATATTGTATGTTTAGTAGTTTGATCAAATGTACCACTACCATAGTTACGATAACTATATTTAATTGGGTTTGTTAATGTTGTCGAAGTTGGTAAACATGATAATGATGGACTTCGATAAAGTTTACTTTGACTTGGACGTATATCTATTTGTGATTTGTCTGGTCGTGATCTTCATAGAAATCTTACATGGTAAATTTGTAAAATAATGCATACAAACCTAGCACCAAATACTGGCGTTGGTTCTCTTTGTATTGGTGCCGAATCATCTGTATCCATTAAAGTTTTACCTGCATCATACCAATTCTAAGATTTATAAAAATATTGAACAAGCATTTAATCAATTTCTTTTGCTTACTAATCCAAATAATTCAATAAATGCATCATCTCTCGTTGGATCAAAATTTTCAAATTGTTCTAAATTAAAAGTTTAAATTAGGCAAAAAAAAACCAATTAATTGATTTATATAAAATTCAAACCGGTAGTTAATGAAGTTGTATGACGACAATGTTCATCTGGTAAACGACATAAAACATCATCACGTTCCATATGTCGTATAGTTGGTAATCTTGGATTATATAATTGTTTTTTCATTGCTGCTAATTTAGATTGATGAGGTTGAAATCTATTTAGAAAAAAAAAAGAAAACAAAAAAACAAATATTCATATTATTTCTAAATTTAAAATATTTACCCAGCAAATTTTTTTGGTGAAAGATAACGACTTTGTGTTGCAAGATGTTGAAAATCATTCCAATCACTTTTTAATGGATCACTACCAAATCTGAAACAAAAAAAACTTTTTTTTTTTTATTAATCAAATAAAACAATACTTTTGAATTTTCTCACTTTGATTTCATATTCAATGGAATGCATATGGCTTGAGTCATTATTTAAAAAAAAATATTAATTTAAATTTTCTTTTTCTTGTAGATCTAAATCTGTAGCACACAACGCTTGACTGATCGAACTGTTAGCAGTAGCAATAATAATAATAATTCTGTTTTTTTTCAAAAAAAAGGAGGCATCCAACGGGGGGGGGAGAAAAAAATTAACAATAACAGCAGCAACAGTAACAACAACAACAACACGGCAAAAAAAAGAGAACTATGTATGTCTGTCAACTTCAATGTTCGCTCTGTCTCGTCCACAAAAAAAGTATTTCTTTTCTAAGTGCATGTGAAAGTAGCAATCAATTACCTTACTGTAACAACAATAAAACACAATTACGTAGTGCAATGGCAAAAGTAATGATTGACATGCTAAAATTATTTATAATAATGGTTGCTTGTTTCTTATTGTTTTTCTTTTTTATTTCTTTCTTTTTGATTATAGAATTCAAGTAAATGACTTGTAGATTATTAAGAAAAATTTAATATCTGACGGAAACAAGAAACAAAAATAATATTTAATTAACATTTTTAAACAAAAAAAAAAAACAAAACAAAGTGATCATATTGTTCATATATAGGTTATTCACGTTGTCGATAATGATCAAGAATTCGTTGTCGAAAAAGTATAGGATCATCTAATTCAAGTGGATTAGATGATGTATTATATTGAAAAGTAATTGGAGTTGGTATTTGAGACTGAGAACTATCGTTCAATATCAAATAATTATCTCCTTCAGATAGTAAAGATGATTGATATGTATCTGAAAAGAATTTAATATTGAAATATTTTTTTAATAGTAGAGAAAATTTTTCTTTTTATATACCTTGAAAAAGATCAAATTGTTGTGTCCATCGATCAATTCGATTAATAAAACAATCAGATATAATTATTTCATCTTTTTTTTTATTTTCTTGATTTTGTTCTACAATTGATATTTGATCAGTTGAAATTAATTGAAATTCTTCATTAATATGTATTTCATTAGTTAATAAATGATCTTGTAAATTATAATCTGTTTGTAAAAATGAAATATTTTGTTCAGAAATTTCATATAAATCTTCAATATGATCTTGATTTTCACTTTGAAAATCTTTTAAACATTTACATGAACATTGTGAACAAATACAAATCGATTCATTATTTTCATATTTTTCACAATTACATGAACAAACACTACAAATACATCGATTATCATAAATATCTTTTAATGATGATGATGATGATGTTGATGATGAATCAATTTGAGTATTAATTAAATTATATTCTTGATTAACTTTTTCTTGAAATAGATTTAATTTTGATTTTGAATTACAAATACATGGTTGATCTTCAAATATAATCGATTTCCAATGATGAAATAATTCTTCACAAAGTTCATCTGGTAAATCCTAAAACAATGAATTTTACAAAACAAAAATTTCGTTTATTTATTTTTTTTCTAATTACTTGTTCATTCAATTGTGTTTGCCAATCTAAATATTCAAATAAATATTCATCAGCTATTGTCTTATTTGTTTGATCAAGTTGATCGAAATTTATTTTCATAATTTCATTATTTTCATCAACATTTATTTTGATTTTTGATTTTTTTTCTTTTGTAGTTTTTAATGGAATTATTTGACATGAATCAATACGACCTCGATATAATTTATTATTATTACCAACAATTGATATATCTTGACTTGTATTAAATATTTCAATATTTGAATTTTTATTAATTTTCTTTTTCTTATTTCTATTACAAATATCAGATGGATCATAACCTAATAAATGATGTATCTAAAGAATAAAAATAAAATATAAGTTTTAATTAAAAAAGAAACACTATTAATGCAATTATCTATGACATTTATATGTAAAATATGATTTAGCTACTGTTATTCATCATAAGAAAATTGCTTTATTCGATCTGTTTTGGGATATATTTCTTCCACATCTTTTTATTCAATTCTTCAAAAATGTAATAAGAAAATAATTCATATAGTATAACGAGACGTTATTGATATACGGTCTTTGGTTGTTTTTTTAATCAACAATATCTATCACTGTCGGTGGAGATTCAAATTTTTACTCCTAAACTCAAACATTCCTTTTAGACCGTGTTTCATAAAAAAAAACCAGTCTAATTTTTACTTGCATTCGAAGTGAATTTTGCATATAACGTAATAAACGTAATGGATGATCATGAAATAGATTAGCTGCTGCCTTATAAAAAAAGAAAATATATTTGATCTTTTTCTTTTAATATTTGATTGAATTATCTCTCTACCCATGCTTGTCTTCTATAAAGTGGAATGGTACCATATGGTGATTTCAATAATGCTTGTCGTTGATATTTACGAATGTCATTAAGCTCGAAAGTAATATATGGTCGTGAACTTTGATATGAATATATACGATTTTGTTTTTTATAATGAATAGATGGATTACTAGAGTCTATTCTATCTATCTTTCAAACTAATTATGAACATTTTTGTGTTAATTAACAAAAAAAAAAGAATATTCTGTATTCAATATATAATTTCAAAAAATTTCATAATATTATTCTTGTAAATATTGTAATTTAATATATCATACTTAATTC